CTGCTGACGGTGGCCACAATTCAACAGACTTCCATAATTTGTTTTCTGTTTATTGTTGCCCAGAATTAAATAATTTATGACCATACATGCAGATTTTCTGTGCATTTATTCCAATGTGTTTCTGCATTCTTGATAAACTTGCCATGACAGTTTATTGGCGTTGTTGGCAGGAAACACCACACTTTATAAACGAATGCATAAATCATAGCCTGGTTGCTTATTGCACACCCATGGGTCTGTTGATTGGCAGTTTAGCAGAAAAAAGTTGTACAACACACACAGTAACTCTGCATAAGAATGTTCTTATTATGGAYACAATGCGAACAAATGACACCTGTCTGCAGCGAACATGGAAATCAACAGCTGCAGGTCATTTCATCACCACTGTTCTGTAGTGTGAGTCTGAACCCCCGCCCCCCCTCATGTTACATAAAAAGACTCTCAAGCACAACAACTGCTGGAACTGATTGAGTGTGACAAGCTGTTTGTCATGAACCAACATGCCCCGTTTTGTTGCTTTACCTGTAATTTGCTGCTTCGTTTATTAAATAAAACTTTACTTTCCATTTTTATGTTTAGACCACTGGTAAAACTACATATTATGAGCATAGAACAATAAGAGTTCGAAACTTGAGCAGCATTTCATGAGACTTTGTGACTCACCTCGATCGCTGTCGTACAAATAGGCAAACTTTTCCCACTTGTAGTAATCGATGAGCTTGAGGAGAGGCCCCTTGATATCAGGTCGCATCTGGATAATGAACTGCTGATTCCCATCCAGAGGGAAGCTGGGCGTTATGAAGGAGACGTGCAGCGTTCCACAGAATGATGTGATGGTGTTAACAGACTTCTTGTCGTAGAATCCAAAGATGGCGTAGACTCCTCTGGAAAACTGTGAACAGACTGTAGAAGAAAGAACATTAGAGTTTACCCTTCTCTCTCTCTCTTTTTTATTTTTCAAAGAAATTCCACGTTTTCTCTTTCAAATCAATTTGAGATTTCTTTGTAAAGCTTATAAAACTTCTATTTGTAATACAGCGAGTTACCAATTAAAAWTTTTTTACACGTTAAAGTTAAGCGTAACTTTCACTACTAGATCAYTGTTGCAAATCTTTCCACAAATTCCATAACGTCAGATTACTTCTTCCATAACTCTGAATTGGTCTAGGCAAATGTTAAAATGTTAAGACGTTTTTATAATGAACCCAAACAACCTTTATGATGATTGTGTCATTTACTGAGGTGGATAGAGTACCAAAAAATTATACTCAAGTAAGAAGAGTAGCACTACTTCAACGTACTTTTACTCAAGTAAAAGTAAAAAGTAGCCATCCAAGAAATGACTCAAGTAAGGTAAAAAAAAAAAAGAATTTGGGAAAAAAAAATGCCATCATCACCCGTTTAGTATTTAAAAAATATATTGGCAGATGGACCAAAATATAAAGCTATGTGGAAATTTTGGTATTTTAAAGATTAAAATGAAAATAATTCACAAAAAATAGCAATTACAAAATAACAAATTCAGGCAAAACAAACATTTTCCCCCAAATCAGTTTCTTTCAAGATAAAATTTGTGAAACCAATTAAAAACTGCAGGTGTGTCTGTGTCTGAAGTTTTGGTGAAAACAAACTTGTTCTTCATTCATTGATGTTACTCACAGTGGGTAGAGTATGGAGCTAAAGTCGGGTCATAAGTTTTATTCAAAAATAAAAAGTTTTTGAAACTGAGAAAAGACGATTTGAAACTGAAAAATAATTTTGAAACTGGAAAAGAAAAACTGTTGAAACTGAAAAGACAAGATGTTTGAAACTTTTCCAGATTCTTTTCAGACATGTTAATGGGATTTATGTGCTTCATGTGAGTGTATGTATTTACGTAGGTGTACACTGACAAGTGTGTGCACATCTGGTAAGAAACTGGTAAGATAAATCCAGCAAAAACAAAATGAAACACAAAAACGTTAAAATTGTATTTACTCTTGTAAATATTTTTAAACATAAACGAACATTAGCAATAAAAGAGTTGTGCTTCACAACAAACCAGTTCATTTAATGTCAAGCTCATTCAAGAGCTACTCTGATGCTTCAAAATGTCTTTTAGTTTTGCTCCAGAGCCACCTTTTGATTTGATCAAATGTTGGTTTTGAAGAAGTAACAATCTCTAAAAATGAAGACAAAAATCTGAACAAAATAATATCTGGAGTCTGGCATATTTATGGCTCTACAATGTCATCTTCTTCGCAGACTTTGTGCAGGATTAAAATGCTCTAAGCTCATGCTTAGAGACTCAATATCCCCATGACTTTGCTGCAAATATTACCAGAGCAAACTGTATTACAATTTTCAAGTTCATACCAAATTTGGTCATTAACAACCAGAAGCAATATTTGTTAAAGCAGCAAGGGTTTAGATAGTTTAAGTGCATCTAAAATGCATAAAAATTGTAGAGTTTTTAGTGTTTTCGTGTGCTTTCTTTTAATAAGACATGTAGAAATGTTTAATTAGAGAAGAAAAGCCAATCACAAACAGTAACTCCTGGCAGCAGTGAGGACTGTAGAAAAGCCATTAAGCCTCTGTCACATCTGACTGCTTTTCAGTAAAACTGGCAAAAATTAATTCTCAGAAATTCCCCTTCAAACACAGAGGGAAGTAAAAACCAGAGAAATMTCTTATTCTAGTGTTGACATGGTCACTTTAATTGGGCACCGAGAGCAAAATGTTTAGAAGAAAATCTTATGTTGTCCTCTCCTGGGCCTGCAGCACAAAGCCGGTTCTCCAGCTCCGTTATTTTGTTATTAAAGACGAGACAAAAGTGGGGTAAAAAAAAAACCTTTTTTTTTTATCTAAAGACGTGTACAAGTGAGATGAATACTTTTTTTTTTTTGTTTGGGAACTTGTAATCCCAACCTTGTGGTTGCAGAGAACAATGCAAAACACCATCATTCTGATGGAGCTGTGTCAGCTCAGTGATCAGTGCCACTGACCTACAAGGCTGCAGGTTTGAGTCCTGGAAGGTGTTATTGTGTRAAACAAAGACCAAATCTTTTATATGAAGTTTTTTTTCACTGTGGCAAGAAAAACAACATTGGCTCATGTTTCAGATGTGTTACAGCAAAATAGCTACTGTATGTGAGAGAGATGAGTAAACAAAAGGCAAGTTATGGCTCGACTCTTCTGATAATATCAAAATAACAAAACTCTTTCCATACGCTTTTGATTTATTCAGCTGCCTTTGAAATGTCATCTAAATGTAAAGCAAAACCAAACAAATGATTGCAACAGAAATCGCTTTTAAAAGTGTGCATGTAAAGAAGAATACTCTGCCACTTTCTACACTAGAATATCTAAGGAAATGGACTTTTCTGTCATAAAGGCCCAAAGTAGAGCCCATACGTGAATGGGATGTTAACATTTAGAGCGTTACAATTTTTATTTTTTATATTTTCACACCATTATATTTAGAATTGGCTCTTTATTTATTTACAGGTTAAAACAGGGGTCTGAAACCTTTACAATCAAAAGAGACATTTCTGCTACTTGGCTCACTAATAAAATGTGTTCAGAGCCGCAAAACAAGCTACAACTGTGATTATCAACTGGTGGTTTGTGGGCCTTTTTGAGGCCTTTTCTGGAACCTTTATGGCCAATGGCATTATAAAAATAAAAAATATTGTGAATTTTAGTATTTATTTTTGCACATCAGGACAAATGAAAAGACTATATTCATATAAACAAGAAAAATACTGTATATAGGTTTTACCAAATTTCATAAAAACTAGGTCATCTGAACTATTCAGGTA